GGCTCGCCGCCGGCGGGCGGAGCAGGATGCCGGCGCGCGGAAAGGCGGCGACGGCGGGGCCGCCACGGAGCGGTGGCGCGCTTCGGGCGCATGGGAGGCGCGGCTTAGGCCCGGAGGGCCCCGCCCGTGCCCTTGCGGGCCGGCGGGTGAGGCGCGGCGGCGGAGGCGATAGGTGGCGATAGGTGGCGGATGGTGGTTGGGTGCGACGGCGGAGATGCTGAGGTGGCGGCTCGCCATTGGCTGGAGCAAGGTGGCAGCGGGCGGCGGACATGTCCGGCTCAACGCGGACGTGTCCGGCGGCGCGAGGATGAAGAAGACTAGGTTTCGTCTGCGATTTTCGGGAGGGGAGCACCTATATATAGGTAGAGGGAGCTAGGAGAGTCCAAATGAGGTGCGGTTTTCGGCCACGCGATCGTGATCGAACGACCGAGATGATGGAGGAGGTTTAGGTGGGTTTTGGGACACTTTGGAAGGGTGTTGGACTGCACACACACACACACACACACGAGGCCTTTTCGGTCCCTCGGTTAACCGTTGGAGTATCAAACGAAGTCCAAATGGTACGAAACTTGACAGGCGGTCTATCGGTAGTAAACCAAGGCCGCTTGGCAAGTCTCAGTCCAATCCAGAAATGTTTAATCCCCACACACGAGAGAAAGGTAGAAATGACCACCGGAGGAGAACAGAGCGCCGGAATGCAAAACGGACAACGGGGAAAATGCTCGGATGCATGAGACGAACACGTATGCAAATGAAATGCACATGATGACATGATATGCAATGCATGACACGCAAGCAATGACAACACAACAACAGCGAATAACTGGGCGACACCTGGCACATCGGTCTCGGGGCGTTACAGGACTACACCCAGTGGGTGCACTTGACGTGCCCCCACTGGTCCGGATTCCACTCAGCCCGACCTGTTTAGACCGAGTGGAAGAGCTCTAAAGCGACATTATTCTCAGACCACCGCCGACTACACACAGTCGACCGCGGTCTCGAGGACTACGCCCAGTGGGTGCACTCTGCGTGCCCCCACTGATTCAAGAGTACACTCGACGCGACCTAGTCGACTCAAATAAAAGAACTATACATCAAAAGTTAAAGCACCCAGTGGGTGAACAGATGCAGGGAGCAGACTCATGATAGATGCACATTAAAGGTTTGACAACGTTCATCCACGGACATCTTATGAATAATGAAGGAGCAGTCTTCAAGTACCATATCCTAACAGAGCAACGGTTAAGCTAAAGATCAGTCGGAAATCAACTAACCTAAACATTGGTCTGGAGAGCTGAGCTAGCATCATAAGCAGCCTGGCTGGCCTCGCGCACCACCTTCATCTGCTCCATCATAAGGCCTGCTTGGTGTATAGCTTCCTTAGTAGCGCTAATCTGGTCCTCTGGGACATGATGGGTAACGAAGAGCGGACCTGGTGGAATAGTCGAGTGAGCCAGAGGATCTAAAGCATGGAGTTGCACAGACGGAGCAGAGATTTCAGCGGTCGATGCCGAAGGACGATCAGTCGACACAGGGTCGGCAAAAGAAACAAAAGCCCGAATTGGATCTCCGGATGGCTGGATCACTGGTTCTGATGCTGATGTCAACCGAGGAACCTTGCTCGCAGGCACCCTCCTGCTCGAAGTCCTGCTCTTCCTTCCCGTGGTCTTCTGGGGTTCATCTTCATTGTCGTCTAGAAGGTCAATGACATTTTGCGGTGCTGCAAAAGACTCGACCATAAGAGTTCGGTTGACCGACGGTTCCATTGGCAAAATGAAGGCAAGAGTCGTACCCGCTTTGGAAGTAGCCGCGTCTTCAGTTTCCTCATCATCTTCATTCTTGTAAATGTCCATGGAGGTCCCGGAAGTGGCAGCACTGAAAGTTCAGAACCCACTCGATCAAGCAAGAGAATGAGTTGACGGTAACATGGAAGTTCCCAAGTGGCGCAAAAGAAAAGAGAGAAAGCAAGACACTTACGCAGAAGCGACGGGAACATCCACCTTGGTCTTGGGCAAGGCCTTCCGAGGCTTTGAAGGGGCGGTCTTGAGCTGCTTGGCGGCCTTTTCGGATGGCTCCAGAGACGAAGTCCGAGTGCGTTTTTGCACTTGTGCGCTTGGAGGGGCTGCCTTGACTCGCCCGCCTGCAAGGTTTTGAGATTGTTTGGATCGATGCTCTGAGCGGGGTGGTGATTCGACTTCCTCACTGCCACCCGAGTCGTCACTATCATCTTCATGGTCGTCGGGGAATTGCCAGTCTGTGCTCTCCGTTCCCTCCTGGGCTTGCTCCCCGTTCGGCATCGAGTACATCTCAGTATAAATCTGCAAGGCAAGGAGTCAAACGGGCATCAATCAGATTCAAGGACAGTTGCAAGTCAGAATAAAAATACACTCGATAATAAGGGTCAGACCTTTTCCGGCTCGTTTTCGACATCGAATGGGACAACTCTCCTGTACCCCCTGGGGTTGTCTTTATTTCCAATGATGCTCCGCAACCACTACTTCACCATCTCCTTGGAGACTTCCTCTGGGCCGACCCGAGCGATGTCGTTGGGGCCCGAATACATCCACATCGGATGATTGTGAGCTTGAAGGGGCTAGATGCGTCTACTGAGAAACACTTCCAACAAATCCATGCCAGTGACGCCATCACGAACCAGTTGGACTACCTGGTCGACTAGCATGGACACCTATCCCTTCTCTGCTGGAGTCATGATAAGCGAAGAGGTTTGGCGGACTCGGTCCATGGTGAAGGGGGGAAGACTGGTCGACTGACCGGGAGTCGGAACATCTCGGCAGTAGAACCAGGTCGACTGCCACCCTCTAACTGAGTCGAGAAGGGTCATGGCTGGAAAAGTACTCCTACCCCTCTATGAATCCCTAAACCCTCGCACATTTGGATCACGTGTGTTTTTTCGTCATTCGGATTTGCCTTCTTCACAGACTGAGAGCGGCAAGTAAAGATGTGCTTGAACAAACCCCAATGCGGTCGACAGCCCAAGAAGTTTTCACACAAAGAGATGTAGGCGGCGAGATATGTGATTGTGTTGGGGGAGAAGTGATGAAGTTGAGCACCAAAAAAGTTCAAGAAACCCCGGAAAAAAGGATGTGGAGGCAGACTGAAACCGCGGTTGACATGAGTGGCAAGGAGGACACACTCACCCTCCTGTGGAAGAGGCTCGGTCTCGTTCCCCGGTAATCTCCAAGACCCATGGGTGATCAGGCCTCCACTGGACAGGCCCTCCAAGTCCTCATTCTGGATCGTAGAGCGGATCCAGTCCCCCTGGATCCAACCAGGCGGCAGACGAGACCTCGACGATGACCCCCGACTCGTCTTCTTGCCCTTCACTGCCGCCACCTTCTTGCGCTCCAGGGCCGCCGTCTTGTCCTTTCCCATGGCAACGGAGTGCTCGCGGGTGAACGGAGACGACGAAGATGGCAGAGAGCGCGATGGAGAAGCAGGGGAAGAAGGGTACGATTGAGGCGCATTGTGCTTTGCATCGGCCTGGGCGCTATTTATGAGGCCACTTCTGAGTGGCTGACGAGTGGGCCCGAGCGATCTAATCACATCCCGCAGCAGGCGCTCGCCTGATACATGGTGGAAAAGGCGGCGCAAAGATCGAGGCGTCCTCGTCTATCCACTATGTTTACTACGGCACGCTCCGTCCCGCGCGCTTCCCCAAAATTTCGAATCCCGTGAGATCCGGGGACCGCAGAGTAACCAATCGCACCGAAGATTTCGTACCATATCAACACTCGAAGTTTATCAGTTTAGTTCACTCGACGACCTCTGAATCGATCGAGGCGACTGAAACAAGATCGAAGCTTCAACATGATTCATAGACTCAGATAAAATACCTCCGAAGTAGGGAATCGAGTCAGAATCAACTTCAGCTCTTTCTTCACTCGGACCTCAATCCATTCGGGGGCTAATGACGATGACATGTACCTAGGGTAGGGTCATAGGCCTGACCTAGATGCCTTACCCAAGGACACTGCCCTAGAGTCAAAGACATTCAAGATACAACAGAAGAAACCGACTGATTTCACCAAGGAGTACAATCCACTCGACCTCTAACCTCACTCGGAAACCCCAATTCCGTTCGACCAAGATGAAGTCACTCGACCATACAAGAAACCACTCGGAATACAGAAGGCCTAAAGTCACTCAGGATGGCAACGGTTAGGTGTTCACTCTATAGTCTTAAAGATCATTTATAGCTCTTTATAACTGGCGCTACCAGTAACGCCCTGTCTTAATGTACATTGGACCCTGTGTAACATGGGATGGCTGGGATCCTGGCGCATTCTATATAAGCCACCCCTCCTCTGGCATAAGGGTTCGCACCCCCTGTAACTCACGCATAATCCAGTCGACCAAGCCTCCGGGCACCGAGACGTAGGGCTGTTATTTCCTTCGAGAAGGACCTGAACTCGTAAACCTTGCGTGCATAACCTCGCCGTAGCTAGGATCTTGCCTCCTCCTACGTACCCCCTATTCTATTGTCAGACTTACTCCCACGACACCTCCGTGTTCTACTTCTTTTCGATGACCTCGGTGGGCGCTGACGTGCTGGACGCCGCGTCGTCGCCGACCTCTCCCAGCAGGGCGTAGTCACGGACACGTTGACGGCGGATGGCGCGAGTAGCAGCAGCACAGGAGGTTGTGTCGTCGTGGTCCACCGCTTGTCGGCCTAGAGCAACACGCCACTCCTCGGTGAGCTGGCTTGGAGCGGTGAGTTGCTCATGGACATGTCGGCTTGAAGTTTCTGCCTTCGCGAGCTGGCCTCCAGCCGCCTGGACCGTCGATGGAGGCAGAGCAAAGAGTTGCCCAGCTCGTATCTGGTAGGCTCGACGGGCCACCTAGACAGCTTGTATGCAGGACAACTCGGCTTCGTGCTCGCCGGATGCCATGGAGCTTGTGGAGAAAATTGAGTGCAAGGAAGAAGAGCGAAGTGTGGTGTGATTTTTACCCGACGTCTGCCATCATTTAAATACCGGGTGGGAGGGGGAACAGACGTTTGTCCGGAGTAGGTTTCCCAGCACAGGTGCAGGGCTTAATGGAGGAAGGCGGGCAGTCTGCGGGCGTTTAAATGCTGCAAGGAGGCGTGTTCAACCGGGCGAGCAGCGGCCGACACCCTCGGCCGGCGCGCCCGTTCAATGCTGCCAATGAGAGGTTGCGTCCGTCTGCGCCGCCCTCCCTTTCGGTCAAAATCATGGGCATCAATGCTGGCTGCTGCATGCTCTAGGCTGGCATGAATGCAATGCGGCAAGCGGCGTGACGCGTGGGATGGAAAGTGCAAGAGAGGTGAGGGAGCGAGTTTGGGTGGGCAGGGCGGTCAGAAGCGGGCGTGGCAACTGTCCGGACGCCCACAAAGCCCTACATGTTTGCCTCCGATTTGCGAAAGAAAACACGTCCCGGCCGCTCTATACAAGACCATGTTGGATATGTTTTTCCTGGTCTGAACAACGCAGTCCGAACGTGTATGCAGGCGGTTCAAGTGTCGCCCTTGGAGATTCCCGAGATTCCCTTACCCCAGATGAGAAACCAATAATTCATTTCATGAGTTTTGAATAGATGAAACATTTCCTAGAAACACAATGCAAATAAATTCTTAGAAAAAAACCATATATAATTCAATTCTAGGCATCGAACAATCCACAAACAAATAATTCATGAATGTTTTGTTTCTCCAAATTTCCTATAAAAATATTTTGAATCGTATAAAATCCTAAATGCAATTAAAAAATTCATTTAGTGTATGTAGGTGTAGCTAACTAGCAACACATATGGTGTCTCGTGTATTTCTCAAGAATGAATCAGTCGACGGCATGACGTGGGGCGCCTCAGCCGCGCCCGCCTCCTCCTCCCGCGGCGTTGGTGAAGAAGGAGAGCAGGTCGACGGAGGAGCCCGCTCTTCCTCCAGCGCCAGGCTGCAGGTCGTCGTCGAGGAAGAGCTGTTCCTCGGGCACCCGGAACGCGCCGTGCGCGCAGGCGAGCACGGCGCCGGCCGCGAGGGCGGAGAAGACGATGGACCCGACGGAGGTCACGAAGACGACGAACGCCGACGCCGCCAAGAGCCCGCCCAGCGTCTCCCTCTCGGAGAAGGTCTTCCCAAAGGCCGCCAGCGGGGGCGCGTCGGCGGGGCGGAGGAGGTAGAGCGCGCACCAGGCGGCGAGGAGCGCGAGCAGGGCGGCGAGCGCGAACGGGTGCGCCAGGAGGGAGGCGGCGAGGGAGAGCGCGACGAGGAGGGCGTAGTTGACGCGGAAGTAGGCGAGGTTCCTGCGGACGCGGGCGGTGGCGTCGGCGAGGGAGTCCGGGCGGCTGAGCGCCGCGCGGTCGAGGAGCTCGGCCCACGGGCGCGCGCCGGAGAGGGAGCGCTTGGCGGAGTCGAGGAGGCGGGCGAGATAGGCGCGCTGGTTGGCCGCCGAGGAGGTGTCCGGGGCGGGGAGGACGATGGTGGCGGTCGCGGCGGTGGCCGCCGGGATAACGGAGACGGGGAGGAGGGGAGGAGAAGCCGCGGCCATGGCGTCGGTGGATGCCACCACCGTAGAGAATAATGTTTTCTTTATCTGGGAGAGAAGAATGTTTAGGAGCGACGAACGATGGCGCGCGTTTCCCTCTCTGTTAACAAGCAAAGGTCAACGGTCAGCCTGGTCTCTCTCTCTCTCTCCGAGTTGACATTTCTGTCTCCTAATTTGACCTGAACTGGTAGATATACATTCAAGCTGAATTTGTAAACGCTGATAAGTAGTTTGGCTAGACTAGGCATCAGTTTGAGATTGCTGGTGAAATACAAGACTGGTCAACTTACCACTCCGGTAGGTAAAGATGGTATTTTTCTTAATAAAAAAATAATTGTCAAGAAAAAAAACGGTCCATACAAGTGCAGGGCCGGAGCCAGAAAATTTGTTCATTGGGTTCGCTCATTCTCTTTATGAGAATTTGACTCTCTTTTTTCCAACCATTAATTACAAATGCATCACTCCTAGTTTGTTCTTCATTGTAATCTCTAAAAAGGTATCAACACAAACAAAAGGCCTTATGCAACTTGGCACTATGCTCAAGCCAACGACCATATTCATCAAACTAATCTGGATTAATTCTACGTTGAGTCTCTCCAACCTTTCTCTACAAGTAATCAAAATTAGACGATGGCCTGTAAGGTTTCCTTGTTAAATATCTATGCCTAATCTCATCTTGCATCTTTGGATTTCTTTTATACTCTGAAATTATCTTTCGATCAGCTGGTTCATAAGGCAACTCATCTAAATTAATTTCGTTGTCTATAGTGGGCTTCGGAAGACTAGTTGTAGTAACATTTGATGTACTTTGCCTGTCTACTGTGTGACCTTGATGTGCATGTATCATTCTGGATTTGTGTCCGAGTTCTCTTTGAGTAATACCGCTTCATAGCCTTGATCAATCAAAGTCCATGAAGAAAAACAAATAAAAAACTAGGGCAAAAAAATCACTATTACCCTAAGTTAGTAGGCTAGATAGAACATACATAAGAGAGAGAAGATGAGGAGATGTGGCAATGTATTCTAATTACCTGAAATTTTGGGTTAAGGTGGTGTTTGGTTCTCTAGTCCTAGGACTTTTTCTAGTCCCAACTAAAAAGTCCCTAGTCCCTAAAAAGTTCCTCCATGTTTGTTTCCAGAGACTAAAAAGTCCTTAGTCCCTTCCTAGAGGTTATTAAATGACCATGTTGCCCCTAGTATATAGAAAAATAACAATCAAACAACACCATGGGGTGGCGGGCCAATAGATGCATGGAGGGGCATTGTTGAAAAAGTCCTAAAAAGTTCCAAAAAGACTCTCCTTGAGAGTCTTCTTCATTTAGTCTCAAATGCCTAGTTTAGTCCCTAAAAAGTCCTTCCCGTTTGATAAAAAAGTCTCTAAAAGAGACTTTTTCTAGCCCCTACACAAAAAAGTCCCTGAAAACAAACACCCCTAAGACTGTTGCCGCTGTGGATCTGTAGCAGCCTGCCTGCTGCTGGTGTGCGGCGGCCGAGACGCCGCCGAGGAACACGAATAGACTAGAGGAGAGATGCGAATTGGAAAACGAACAGATGACGACCCGAGTCCCGAGGAGGCGTGTGGCTGCGTGCGTGCGTGCATATACGTATACAAAATGTGAGTACAGACTACGTGACTAATCACGGTTTAGGCCTGGCCAGCTGGGCGCCTAGACATTGATGACCCGTGAGCTTTTGGGCCCTTTGCTTACGCTATTCACATGACCACCTCACGTTATTGGGGTCAGGCATGATTTTTTACTAGGTTCAGGTGAACCAAACATGCACTACACGCAGGTACGTAGAAAAAGTTGTTGGGTTCACTTGAACCCAACGCTTGTGTGCTGGCTCCACCGTTGTACAAGTGGAATACATCAAGACACAAAATCATAAATAAAACAAAATTGGTTTTCTTCTTGTTCGATGGTACGCCGTTCGTCACAAATTAAAATATGCACTGAACCAACAATAAAAAGAAGACACCCGTAAACATCATCGTCATGTCAGTCTTTGAAGACACAATAATCATAGTAAAAGAGAAAAAACATTAGTTGTGACATTACCCTACGCAATGCAGTTTTACAATTTTTGAACAACTGTCTAGAGGGTTGGATGAAGCAAGCCATGTTGCAGAACAAATCGAAAGAGTGGGTCCAAATCGCTGTATCAAGAGCCAACCAACTGTTTCTCTTAATTGACACATCAACTGTCAAGATCCAAAGAGAACCAACAAAATCCTACAACACCTACCTTCACATGCCCTTCCCCGACGCCAGACCGAATGTTGTCGAGGTAGGGAGGTGACAGAGAGACCTTTGTTACAACATGCCACCAGGAAAACAAAATCTAAGGAAAGCAAAAACCTGTAAAAACTAAGAAAGTCAAAAGGGACGGACCCACACTCGAAGATGTGGCTCGAGAATGTCGGCGGCATGTTCCCCGACGCTAGAACGCCAAACTTCATTAAGGAAACAGCAGGCCTAAGGGTATCTTCAGAGTGGACCATCAAACTGCCCGCATCCGTCTGGACCGTGCGGTATGGATGTGTTTTGCCATCCAACGCGGGCCTGTATCAGTCTGTCGACCGGGCTAGACGTGATTTTTCCCTCAAATTGGGAGCAAACCAAGGGGCGTTACGGGAGTCCGGACCACTGCCATGTAGGACTCCGACAGCCCCGACCCACTGAAACCCCTATCTCGGTCCCATTCTCTTCCACTCCGCCCCTGCCCCCTTGCTTTGCATCTGCGTCCTCCTCCTCCGACGCCACCGATGTACCTCTCCGACTGCCACACAGGGATTACCAGGTGTCCGCAACTACCACCCACAAGCCCGCTCGCCTTGTACTACAGCGTCGTCCACCCATGATCTATTCGTAGCCATGTACCTCTGTCCCCCTGTCGACAACGACAACCATGGCTGACACCACGCATGACATGTGTTTGGTCAAATGCCATTGAGCTTATTTTCGAACTCCATGTCGTTGTTTTAGAGCAAGAACGATGGCGGGGTACTCGACATGGTGAATGAGTTGTTGTGTGATGTATGGTTTAGGCGTATCTGTGGACTTCATAGGCAGGAGCAGAAGGAGGTTCTTTGGCAGCACGTGCATGGTTCGTTTCATGCGCAAAAGCACATTTGTGCCCTGTGACATACAAATCATCCATGAACGAAATGTGAAGTCGTTAGCCTATCGATGGTAGACCATCCAGAACTCTGCCATAAAGTATTATGTCGCAGTTGATTGCCGGCAATGTGGCCATTGCGCGCGACAACCATGGAGATTGTAAGTTTTGATTTTCTTGCTCTATATGTTGATTGGTTCATTCATTCATTGTTGCTCTATACGTTGTGTAGCTTGCACGCGCTGCCGTAGTGTACTACGGGTCAAAGGGCAGACAATTCACACACATGAATTGTTGGATGAATCTCAAGGGACAATATGTGTGGGACAACATGTGCCAGAACTGGAGTTAGTATCGTTGAATTTGATCTATCCATGAAAAACTTGTCTAACACCCGGTTGAATTGGAACCAGTGGCGGAGACAGGGGGACCAGCAGGGCCCTAACCCCCTAATGTCCGCTGGTTTAAGACTAATACTAGTGTAAACACATAACTTTTTGCTGTTAAAACAGAGTATTTTAATGGACTGGCCCTCCTCAACTAGGTTTAGCAACGTTTGGCCATCCTCATTGGATTTTCCTGGCTCCGCCACTGATTGGAACTACTGTTGTACTAGACATATTTGCATGTGTATTTATGGATGACTAGCAAGATGCCCGTGCGTTGCATGGAACATGAAGATGCATTTGTATGAGTAGTTTATCTTATGAGAGAAAAAGATGAACAAGGAAAAGCCGTATCTACAAATGTGGAGAGAAGTGCGGGTAAATTGTCATAGTTTCCTTCCTACCCGTTAGATATAGATCGGGCGACCTATATTGCAGGATGACAGACACACCATCATCACCAGCTCTGCTTTTTATAAGAGTACTAGCAAGATGCCCGTGCGCTGCACGGAACATCAAGATGCATTTGTATGAGTAGTTTATCTTGTGAGAAAAAATGATGAACGAGGAAAAGACTTATTTGCAAATGTGGATAGGGGTGTGGGTATCTTTTTGCAAAATTGTCATAGTTTCCTTCCTATCCGTCAGATATAAATCGGACGGCCTATATTGCAGGATGGCAGACACACCATCATCACCAACTCTGTTTTTTATAAGAGTAGAGAAATTGTAATAGTTTCCTTCCTACCCGTTAGATATAGATCGGGCGACCTATATTGCAGGATGACAAGCACACCATCATCACCAACTCTACTTTTTATAAGAATAAAGACTTGTCCTATTTTCTATCTGAATTTTGATGAATTCTATCGTGTTTGATAAAATTTGTCAAAACACGATTTGAAATGCATGCTGCTAGCTTTGGATGGCCAGCCCGCATCCGTGACAGCAGAATGGTCCTATCCGCGGGCGGATACGATGTCCGGTTTACGGGTTAGCGTTGGAGATGCCCTAACACTGCTATACACAAGGGCACAACAAGCACCTCTCACATATCCAACAGGGGCAGAGGAGAGGAGAATAGAATTCCTTTCTAGAGGTTGTATGTAGTGATGCAGACCAGGAATAGAGTTCCGTAAAGATGACATATTTGGTCCTCAGCCATGACATATTTGCAGCGTGCAACCTCTTTAAAGGAAAACAAACACCCAATCAAGCAAATTTGCATATCAAAAGCAGCTAAGTCGAAGAAAAACAGAGCCTATTTCCTCCAAGGGCATGTACTCCACAGTTGGAGGGTGGCACCTAACGCAAATCCTAAATTTTAGTTCATGCAGCAAATCACTGGAACTCAACAACCAGCACAATTGGACAAACACAGAGGACACCAGAAAGGATTCATGATTACGAATCGAACCGAGCAGTTGCAACATTTCCTTGCCATGGCAAGTCCGAAACCAAACCAACTAGATCACACAAGTACTCCAGCACTCATAAACACTGGCCATTAAACTGACATGACGTCTTACTGCAGCGGTTTCTCCTTAAATAGGCAATGGACAGAATATTAGGAACTCTGAAGTTCATACAGGACTCCACGCCATATGAGGCGTCTAAAAGGTCGATCCGTTCCACCCAAAGTCCGAGCGCTGCATGGTAAAGAAAAAGGCTTAATTGGAGTTCATATAATTAGCATCTAGCATAGAAAGGAAGCCACTGTGGAAGCTAACATGACACTACGAGTTCAAACGACAGATGGACATTTACATGATCTACTCTTGATGCAAAGCATGCAAACATTGAGCATGTTCTTGTGCAGGATGGGCCTAACAAACAGCAGAATTGCAATGAGAACATGATGATGCCTGATGAAGACCCATGAATGAGCGGTCGACAGGAAATAATATCTGCTTGCCTTTGAATCATGGAACTTGAGGTAGAAGCGGGACTTGGGGATGGACAGCTTTGACTCCAGGATGGAAGCAATGCCGGCACTCAGCTTCTTGTTCACATCAGGGTTCAGCCCTCCGATGGAAACCAGCTCACCGTAGGCTGCAGGCTCCTGGGTACCTCCGAACGCCATGGGCACTGAACCCTTGAGAACAACCATCACATACTGTTGGAAGCACTCAAGTTAGTATCTGAATGATAAAGACGGTGAGAAAGAACTTTGGTATACCCGCTACCCGGTCAGCTAAAAACCAGAAAACTATCACAGCCTAATTTCCAGTAGTTCGAGTGTCTGACATTGTATACAATCATATCATATCTCCAAATCTACAGAATGAAACACCAACTAAGAGCTTCATTATAATTGGCTTCAGTATCATAAATATAAATAACCAGGCAAGTCATTTTGATCTTAATTATCTCTGATATATCAACAGAAGTAGCTATTGGAGCCATTTTTCTGTTAAAATTGATGTATTTCTACACTTAAAAACAACTAACCTAAGTACAGTTAGCTTTCCAAAATAATACTCCAGTATATTTAGAAAAGAACTTGAGAATCAAGGAAATGACCTGTATTTCTCTAAAAACATAAGCAAATAAAGTTCTGAATAGTTAAACATGAGCAGTCCAGATTTACGTCAGATTAATGGTACTGTGCATATATTTTATAATTTTCCAATACATGAGGTTCTGAATTAGCAATTATAGAGGAACACGAAGAAAACAGCCATATCTTGTTGATGTGAAATACCTCTACATTCGAAAGACAAGCAAAACAAGTAAACATGTATTTCTGGAAAGACTTTCAGATATTGCCTCCCAAAGCAAAATCTCTAAAACAGAATAAAGTGTTTTCACTCTAGACTTGCAATAGACACTAATCATAACCTCCTAATCAACTCATTTTGGTGTTGCAATGACCAAGAAAAATGGAAAATATGAAGGTTTCAAAGTTCTTTTGAGAGAAAGATACACACAAACTCCATGCTCCATGGTACTCTGAAAGTTCCCCATCTTATGCTATGTTTACAGAGAAATCCGTAATAAATATTAAAGATGTCGAGCATGTTCATTGTCTGATTTGCTTCTGTAGAGAGACAGATTGGTTCTATTCATCCCTTTACCAAGTAACTTGCCCATCCATTTCAAGTTTCAGCATATTCATGTCATAGCACATCAAACACCCTTCATGCTTATCATATTGAGGCTAAGAAATATAAAAATGCTACTCCCTCCAATCCGAATTAATTGACGCAGACAATGTAAAATGGACATTCTATAGAGGCTGCGTCAATTAATTCGGATCGGAGGGAGTAACTGATTCGAAAAAATATCCAAACCAAGAAGACAACGACTTGACCACCAAACATCAAGAAATCGAACCTTGATTCAGTTCAGGTTCAGTCCAAGTTTTCAATTTTCACGTGCATGCTAATCTGCTCCTAAATATAAGATGTTTTGGCAGTTCAATTTAAACTGCCAAAACGTCTCACATATAGGAACAAAGGTAGTAAATAAAACTGCAAAGTTTATTTGACAAGAAACTGATTTTTTCGTCTGTGTGGTCTACATTCACCAACAAACAAACACATGACCATAAGAAACACAGTCCTAAACTGGACATAACCCCAGATCACAACCTTGAACTTGCTCCACACATGAAAATGTCATACAAACCTACAGATCAAAACCCCGTATCCACAATTTCAGCAGTCGTGGGACAAAGATCTTCCAGGGCAAAGCAAACATGAATAGCCGCCCAAAGGAAGGGGAACAAACCCCCAGCATCGAATCGACTCCCCAAAACCCTAACAGATTGAAGGGCCAGACCTAAGAGACGGACGGAATCCAGGGGACGGCCACGCCTGTATGGATCGACATGGAGATACGGACGCCGCGAGAAGAGGGAAGATGGCCTAGGCAAGGCGGGATGTTGAGGAAAGGGGGGAGATGGGGCAAGGAGCGTACGTTCTCCGGCTTGCCGATGATGGTTGCGACGGTGCTGGAGGCGTCGGCGAGGACGGCGGAGGTGTCCACCCCCTCCAGGTTCACGTTCGTCGACACGTTCAGGCAAGGCATCTTCCTCCTCCTCCGCTTCTTCTTCTTCTCCCCTGTCTGCGCCTCGGTGGATGGGTGGGGAAGTGTGTAATGGAGAGTTGGAGACCTCAGTTGACCTTGGCGAGGAAGGACAAAACCCTGACCACTCGTTCCTCAACCGGTCGACCCTATGCGTGTGTGTGTCAAAAAATAAAAGATTTTTTTATTAAATATGATAATTAATGTCTACTTAAACCTAAACGTCTTACATTTGTTTTTTAAATAAAATAGGCGAATGCTAGGCGCCGGCGCACCGGCCAAAATTTCGGCCGATCGGCCCCAGCCACGTGATACGCGAGTCCCAGACCACAGGATTCCACCCCCTTCCCCACCCCCACCTCGCGTCTCCTTCCTGCAACAGTCCCCACTCTCCTGCTTCCCCGTCCCCCTCCCATGGCCTCCCCCTTGAAGCTATGTGGCGACCGCTCGCCGGCTTGTTGATGTCGCTCGCCGGGCCGCTCGCCGGCTCATCATGGAACCGCTCGCAGATTTGATGGTTGCAGCAAAAATCAATTGATAAATCTGGTCCTAGCTCCGCTTCGCGATTCCAGCAAAATCAAAAGGTCGTTGTAGCAAAATCAGTTGATGGTTCCAGCAAAAAACACAAATGCAACAAAAAAAATCAAAAGACATGCCTCGCCTCATGAAGAAATTGGTTCTAGCAAAAAAGAAAAACACTGGCTTCAGTTGAAGCTTTTTTCAGCATTGAAACTTTTTTCCTGCGGTGGAAATTTTTTTCTCGTGGCACTTGAAACTTTTCCTCAAGCCGAATGAAGCTTTTCCACAGCCGGTTGAAGCCTTTTCTCCCCAGGATGGAAGCTTATTCTTCCATACCGGCTTGAAGCTGGTTCCAGCAAGAAGCAAAACTCAGCGCGTCGTGAAAAAAGGATGTACCAATTGACCATGCTAATAGTAGCAAAACTCGAAACGGTGGTAGCAAAAAGTAGTACACTGGTTCCATCAAACAAAAAGACATGGTAGCAAAAAAAATTCATTGGTTCCAGCAAAAAATCGAAGATGGTTGTAGCAAAATTGGTACTCTGGTCCTCCTTCTACCAAACAAAAACATGGTTCGTCGACACGTTTAGGCAAGGCATCTTCGTCCTCCGCTTCTTCTTCTCCCCTGTCTGCGCCTTGGTGGATGGGTGAGGAAGTGTGTAATGGAGAGTTGGAGACCTCAGTCGACCTTGGCGAGAAAGGACAAAACCCTGACCACTCGTTCCTCGACCGGTCGACCCTATGCGTGTGTGTGTCAAAAAATAAAAGATTTTTTTGATTAAATATGATAATTAATGTCTACTTAAACCTAAACGTCTTATATTTGTTTTTAAAATAAAATAGGCGACTGCTAGGCGCCGGCGCACCGGCCGAAATTTCGACCGGTCGGCTCCCCAGCCACACGATACGCGGGTCCCAGACCACAGGATTCCACCCCCTCACCCCCACCCCCCACCTCGCGTCTCCTTCCTGCAACAGTCCTCACCCTCCTGCTTCCCCGTCCCCCTCCCCTGGCCTCCCCCTTGAAGCTCTGTGGCGACCGTTCGCCGGCTCGTTGGTGTCGCTCGCCGGCTCGCCATGGAGCCGCTCGCAGATTTGATGGTTGCAGCAAAAATCAATTGGTAAATCTGGTCTCAGCTCCGCTTCGCGATTCCAGCAAAATCAAAAGGTCGTTGTAGCAAAATCAGTTGATGGTTCCAGCAAAAAACACAAATGCAGCAAAAAAAATTCAAAAAACATGCCTCGCCTCATGAAGAAATTGGTTCCAGCAAAAAAAACACTGGGTTCAGTTGAAGCTTTTTTCAGCATTGAAACTTTTTTTGCTGCGGTGGACACTTTTTTCTCGTGGCACTTGAAGCTTTTCCTCAAGCCGAATGAAGCTTTTCCACAGCCGGTTGAAACTTTTTCTCCCCAGGATGAAAGCTTATTCTTCCATACCGGCTTGAAGCTGGTTCCAGCAAGAAGCAAAACTCAGCGCGTCGTGAAAAAAGGATGTACCAATTGACCATGCTAATAGTAGCAAAACTCAAAACGGTGATAGCAAAATGTAGTACACTGGTTCCATCAAACAAAAAGACATGGTAGCAAAAAAATTCATTGGTTCCAGCAAAAAATCGAAGATGGTTGTAGAAAAATTGGTACTCTGGTCCTACTTCTACCAAACGAAAACATGGTTTGTCGACACGTTCAGGCAAGGCATCTTCCTCCTCCTCCGCTTCTTCTTCTCCCCTGTCTGCGCCTTGGTGAATGGGTGGGGAAGTGTGTAATGGAGAGTTGGAGACCTCAATCGACCTTGGCGAGGAAGGACAAAACCCTGACCACTCGTTCCTAGAACCGGTTGACCATGTGTGTGTGTCAAAAAAATAAAAGATTTTTTTATTAAATAGGATAATTAATGTCTACTTAAACCTAAACGTCTTACATTTGTTTTTTTAAATAAAATATTGTCCAACGATGCTATTTTTCTTACATATGCAACATACCAATGTGTGACTAAGGGAAAAAATTGTTTTTACCACTCTATCTTATGCCAATTCTCCATATGTGAGTCTAGACTCTGTCATTTCTCTTTTGCCACTATCAGCTTTTGACAATTATCACAATTGCCATTTCGTGGCAATTGTGATACATTTTCAAATGCACTATTAGTTTTTGACAAATTATCACAATTGTCATTCCGTGGCAAAATTAAAATTTCAGAGTGGCAATTGTGATACATTTTCAAATGCTAAGAGTGACAAAAGTAAAATAATTTTATTTTCTTTTTGCCACGGAATGGCAATTGTGATAATTGTCAAAAGCTAAGAGTGGCAAAAGTGAAATGTCAAAATCTAGAGTGGCATAAGAAAAATTGGTAAAATTTAGAGTGGCAAAAAAAATGCTCCCTTTTACTAACCTGATCCTCTGAAACAAGCTTGTGACACTAACACTTTCTTTTCGTTAATTAAAACTAAGTCCTAAGGATCTTTTCCTAAAAAGAGAAAACTAAGTCCTAATGTCAAACTACAAAGAACAAACATAGTACACGTGTGTTGCTACAAACAAAGTAAGAAACCACACTACTCCCTAATTAAAAGAGTGATGCTTTCAACATGTCACATTGTCTTTGATATTTGGCTAAAACCATCGTGTTATTTTTATAGTATATGCATAATATTCAAAATTACTGTAAGAGTAAAATTTACTTTTTACCTCATAGCAAAGATCTCGTGCCAGCATATTATACTATTTTCAAAGAAAATGCCACGTTTTACCTCTTTATTTTATTTGTGAATTCACATTTTACCCCTTATGTATGACCATTTGTGCTAAAATTGACAAGGCAAACCCATTCGTCCGGACAACATGAAAACTAAGTAGAGGGCCAACTTAGACTTATGTTCGTTGGGCTTATATCTGATATGATTGTAAGGGTTTCTTTGATTCACATGATTTCCCGCTAAAAAAAGATTCACATGATTTAAGGAACGCATGAATAGGAAGAACAATAGGACTAAAAATGGCATGCCTTTTTTAATCCTACATGATTTTGGTTTGCTTGACTGCATCTCACAAAAAATAAAGGATTCTTCCCCAGAGTTTTGAGTGGATGATAGAATTCTATGGAATATATACAAATGAATCCTGGAAATAAATCATATATGATTCATCCTACAAATCAAACGGCCAACATAGATAAAAATCCCGAGGATTTCAATCCTTTAAAATTCATATGAATATCCTTTAAATCAAAGAGGCCCTCAGTTTAGTGTGGTGCATCTACCATACTTGTTCATTAAATACTAGCATAATTCATAGAATTTGGCTGAATTTGATGTAAAAACTAAACAATGGCATCATTTGATATGCCCCTAATGAACATGCATCTGACTTGTCAGCTCCGTCAGCTAGCATGTCGTCCTAACAACTGCATTTGTTGGTTCAGGATTTATGAAAAACTCTTACTTTTTTGTGGATTGCGAAAAATTCTACTCCCTCTGTAAACTAATATAAGAGCGTTTAGATCACTAAAGTAGTGATCTAAACACTCTTATATTAGTTTACGGAGGGAGTACCTCGGTATGCAATTTTTTTGAGATGGGCCTAAGAAAACGAATCGGATGAGAGTATTTTCCTTTATAGTATATGCATAAAATAAAGCAAAACTGTAATAATTTTCTGGATTACTTTTCTGACACAATTTAACACATATAAGTTTCAAGTTTCCAATCTAAATATTTTACAACAACAACAATACTATTTTTTTAAGTCCAAAGCAATACATTTCATGGACAGGAAAGAATACATGTTTACAAGACCTATTATTTGAATTGATTTGAGATGCCGCCTGGTGTATCGGACAATTCAAGGAAGATGGAGGTGTTTTTACAAAATAAATTTAAGCGGGTGGTGAGCAATCAAAGCTCAATCTCAGCCATTGATAGCAGATTGATATCATCCAAGGTGAGAGAACCATCACCACCAACTGGTTTCTTTAGAGGAATATAAAGGAAACATACTACCTACTATAAAAACTTGTTTTGTTTTGAAAACAAGCATAATATCTGTCTTGGTCCTTCCTTTTGGGAGGAAAATGAGTTAGTTACTCAGGAAGATAACGACCTCTTGCAGAAAAACTTTTCTGAAGAGGAGATTAAAGAGGCAATATTTGGGTCTTATGCCCATGTTGCCCCTAGCCCGGATGGATTATCTTTCTTGTTTTATCAAACCTTTTGGGATGTGATTAAAAATGACTTTATGGCCCTGGTGAGAGACTTTGAAGTAGGAAAACTGGATTTACAATGATTAAACTTTGCTCTGATTGTGCTCATTCCTAAAGAAGTTGATGCCAGGGAGATGAAGAAGTTTCGCCCTATTAGTCTGAGTAACTGTGGGATTAAGATTTTTTCTAAGGCCATGATCAATAGGGTCTCCCCTGTTGGGCGCAGATTGATTTCTTCTAATCAAACTGCATTCATTAAGGGGAGATACATACTAGAGAGTGTGGTGATGGCACATGAAGTGATCCATGAAATTAAAAAATCAGGATCGCAAGGCTTAGTTCTCAAATTAGATTATGAGAAGGCCTGTGCCAGAGTTAGTTGGGAGTTTTTGTTTGACATGCTTCATTCGAGGGGTTTTCGCTCAAAATGGATTTCTTGGATTAAAAGCACTCTTGTTAATAGCACTTTCAGTGTGAGGATTAATGATACAACAGGTCCCTACTTTGTAGGAGGAAAAGGCCTCAAACAAGAGGATCCACACTCTCCCCTGTTGTTTAATCTAGTTGCTATTGTTTTTACCAAAATGCTCAAGAAAGCTGCTTCGCACAGTCTAATTTCTGGGCTTCTGCCCCATGTGATCCCTGGAGGTGTGGTTAGTCTGCAATATGCAGATGACACCATACTCTTCTTGGAAAAATCTGTCCATAAAGCAAGAAATTTTAAATGGCTTCTGTCATGCTTTGAAAATCTGTCTGGAATGAAAATCAACTTCCATAAAAGTGATCTCATGACTATAAATATGGATGATGCAAATGCTAAGGAATTTGCTCAAATTTTTTGCTGTAAGAATGGTTCTTTTCCTATTAAGTACTTAGGAGTGCCTCTGCACTATGATAATTTAAAAAGAGAAGATATTCAGCCTATCATTGATAGAATCATTAAAGGGATCTCTGGCTGGCTGGGGAGATACCTCACTTATAGAGGAAAAATTATTCTACTTTGTGCTTGTGTGATCAGTATCCCTGCTTACTTGTTGTCTGTGATCAAATTTCCTAAGTGGGCAATTAATGCAATTAACTCCCAGATGGCTCATTTCTTTTTGGGAAATCTGGGAGATCAACACAAGTACCACCTAGCTAATTGGGGATTAATTACTAGAAGGAAAGAATATGGAGGTTTGGGGGTTCCCAATATTAAAGAATATAATATGGCCTTACTAGCTTCTTGGGGGAAAAATATTTTTTAATAACCCTGATTCAGATTGGTCTAAGCTTCTGCTTTATAAATATCGTGTTAATTCTCCTAACCTCCTTTGGGCTAAAAGTGAAGGGGGCTCTACCTTCTGGAAGAGCACTACTTGGGCGCTGGCAGCTGCAAAAACTTTTTATACCTGGAAATTGGGAAATGGGAAACTCATTAGTTTTTAGCATGATGTGTGGATAGGGGATTGTTCCCTCAAGGTGCAGTTCTGGGACTTATTTTGCATCTGTAACCAGACTGACAACACTGTAGCCCAGGTTTGGGACGGGAATGAGCTGAAACTAACATTTAGGAGGTGTGTTAACCATCTTGGGATGAAACGCTGGGATCAGCTTGTCTGTATGGTCAAGCAACACCCTCCAGTAGATGAAACGGACACCCCAATCTGGGGTTTAGAACCAAATGGGTTATTTTCAGTTAAGTCTTTCTATAAACAAATCAATTTTGGTGGGGTGGTTTCGGGCATTAGTCCTAAAATGTGGAAAATCTTATGCCCACGGAATATACATATATTCTTGTGGCTGTGTGTTCACAACAAGATACTTACTAGAGATAACCTTGCGAAGAGGAGGGAAGTGGAAGAACCTTCATGCTTGTTCTGTGCAGAATTTGAGACCGTTCAACTCTTGTTGTTTGATTGTGTGGTGGCCCAGCAAGTGTGGAGTCTTGTTGCAGATATGTTTAATATTGATAGAATATCCTGTTTTACAAAAATTATGTCCTTCTGGCATAGACATAAAGAAAAAGCTGTTTTGAATATGGTAACATCTGCTGCCTTGTGGAGCTTGTGGAGACACTAAGGAATGAATTTTGCTTTCAGGGGCGCAAGTGGAAAAATGTGAAATGCATTCTTGCAAAACTAAGCTGCTTTTTACACCAATGGATGGTTCTGTGCGACGATGGACAAGCGAAGCTTCTACAGCAATGCATCCTGCTGCTGGACAAACGACGTGGGGAACTCCTCCGGATTGCTTGGATTGCTTGGAAATGAGGCTGGAGGAGGCCAACTGAATACCGGGGCGATGGAGATGGTGGAGCATCCCTGGGGATCGGATTTAGATCCATCTTCTTCGTTTCCTTTCTTCCTGTTGGACCTCTGTAATAATTGGTTTGGACATGATGCTTTGTTGCCACTAGACGTAAAACTGCTATGTTGGCTGTAGGTTATTCCGGCGAGGGTAGATGCTTTGTAGTATTCAGGTCGTTCGAAAACTTTGTATTCCTGTGACTGGTTGCGGTCTGCTTCATT